ATAAGGTTGCTAGATTAAAGTTTTTATAACAAAAGGAGCAGCAAATTAAATCAAGTATTTTGTCAATATGTAGAAGTAATAAAAATTCAATTCGGTATTGAAATGGACGAAATATTTTTTATTCTTAAATTTGTTGAGAATGATATGTAAGTCCTACTTAATAAGTTTCTTCTTGATATCTAATATTTTAAAAAGAAGTCGGTTTTCAAAATCGTATAAGTTTTATATTAAATAATGAAATAAGATTTGAAAATTGAGTATTGTACAACAAATAATATATTTAAGAGAGAGGGCAGTTACTCCTCTGTTTTGTAAATATTCAGTTTAATGTCTAGCTTTACTAACGTTTATCGAATGTCTAATGGTGAAAGAAATATTATATACCATTGTTTGTCACTCACGTATTTTCTGGTGAAGCAGATAAAACTCAGAAAAACTGCAAAATACAACACATTGATAAGTTCTGGAATGTCGCTGAATCTCTATAGTTGTAGAGTATGTATCAGTATGAGTATTACAACAATTCAACAACGAAGGAATTTAACACCTTTCAATTTATAAGAAATATTATGTTATATCATAGTTGTTTGGTCTAGTGGTACTTATAAGAAAGATTCTATTATAATATAGTCATTTGATCTAGTCATATTTATAAGAAATATTCTGTTATAACATAGTTATTTGGTCTAATCGTACTTATAAGAAAGATTCTTCTATAACATAGTTATTTGGTCTAGTGGTATTCACGAGCTTCCATACTTACGAAGTTTCTTCTTACAATGAAACAAATTACTTTATCTGATAAACGTAAACATGAAAAATTGGATATCAAGCTTATCCTCAAATTTTGTAACGTTTTTATGCTTTCAGTAATTTTCCTATTACTTTCCTCCCTGAGAAGTTTATTCTGAAGATGAAAAAAAATTGTTAACTTTTCGAAAGCTAATTTGTATTTGTCATCTTTATATTGGTAGGATTATCTAAGAATATTTTAGGCAAATTAAACTAAGGGAGTTTGTGTTAAAATTTCATATCTTACCGATTACGTCTCCTTGATCAGTCACAAAAGTATATTTAGTGCTGCAAACATTTTAATAATAATGAGAAAAATCAAGTTAATATTGCCCATGTCTTACTATTTGTTTAAGCTGAAACTTATAATCCAACTATAGCTAAGCTAACCAGTCGTAAAACGCTATTAAACCTACACCACAACAATGCAACATCAAAAACAGGGTTTTTAGGTTTGTTGCACTTGTTGACATCCAGCAGTATTTCAATGCAATTATTGTAGTCGATATTTATTTATTTATTTACAACTGATCAAAATCCTCTGTAACCCAGTTAAATAAAGCACTCGAGCTAGATTTATAGTAACATTGTTGACTCGCATGTTGAGACGAAGTACATTATTTTATGGACAGTTCCTATTACTCTAGTGAATATGAACACTTAAATTGTTGAAAGACAACCATAGCTACAAGTGAACTTCAAACTAAAAACCTAGTAAACTAAGTAATAATTTTATCCACCCATTGCACAAAATTATGTTTCTTGGCACGAATTTAGCCTTGTGTAGTTTTGCATACAATTTCCAAAACAAACAAAAATAATTTTTACACTTCATTTTCCTCGACTGCCTATTAGAATTATTTTGATGCCATATTTATTCAATATTGCACGGCACTGCAATTTCCATTGTAACGAGTCTCCTCAAAAAGACTTAAACACCTCATATTCTAGACCGACTTTCCACAAACATCATACGATGACTGTCGTGATTTTCAATTTTTTCAGCCACGTTACTCATTCAAAAAATCATTGATTTTGAGATGTGTTTGGATTTTTGTGAGCTTCGGTTACATTCATATTTTTTGTCTATCATATTATTAACAAGATCAAGAAATTTGCCAAGCTTCACCACAACGATTTATTTGGATTGGCAAGTTGCCTTTTATAACCATAGCCTTCATTTTGCGGCTGAAGGCGTTGCTATAAATCGACATAATTTGTATTTTTGTAGCCTTTGCTGTCCTAAACATCGTGCTACGCAGGTTTTCCGCTTCCAGAAACACTGAAAGATATCTCCTTCGAAATGTTGTGTCCCCCAGCCATAAGTTTATACGTAGAAACATCGCACTTTCGAACTCTTGGAAATTCGCTATGAGCGAATTACGTAGGTGCTAAACCACTGTGACAATACGCTTGAAAATCGTATTTGAATTACGTCAAATTTTAATAAGTTGCTTTTTGTTTTACACGCTTTAGATTAATATATTTTCTTTGTTTTCTTTTCCTATGCTTATACATTGGTCCTTTTATTTCAGACATGATATCTAAGATTCAATATGAACTGTCCCTGGTAATTGAATTGATTATATTTATTATTAAAAGTCATACGTTTACCAGTCTTAAAAATATGTATAATAGGAATGAAAAGCACCAGGTTTGGAAACGCTATGTAAGACAATATTCTCCCTTTAAATTCAGTTCAGTGTTTTAAAATAAAATGTGTACACAAGGGTGAGATTTCTAGTACCAAGATTGTAGTAAGGTAGTCTCTTTTTTTTAACCTTATTCAGCTCAAAATCTAATTATATTTTTAGGGAGATAAGTGATTTCGCTCTGGTATTAATAAATCCATCAATGCAGGAGGGGTTTGTGGTGGTTAAGCTCAAGTTTAATGTTCAAACTACGATGTTATATGTAAAATATAAGTAATTGCTGTAACTTATTTATTGTTATGTATTTATCTTTAATATGAACGTTGTTTAGATTAAGTTT